ATTATACATTATTTGTTTTCTGTATAGATTTAATAAACAGTACGTACTTGTTTGACTACGGAAAAAAAAAAAAAAAAGTGTTTGGTTAAACAAAAATGAAATCGCAAATGATTTATATTTTTTGAGAAACAAGAGAAATGACAAATTACTTGATTTGGGGCAACGAGCGTCGCCTTGTCACCTGTTGTTGTGTCCAACAGCGAACGGTGGTAAAAAGCCTTTCCATACTAAGATCAGGGATGAAGGAGGCATAGTTGAAAGTCGGCGCTCTCCTGTACTGAGCAGGTATTCGGATCCCCCTTTCGATGAGCTCTTGTCTGTCAGCATCGGAGTTGATCTGTGCCTTCGTAACATCAAGACCCTGTCCATCCGTTACACCTCCGACACATTTATATTCGATGCAATCCATAGGCAGTGTGAAAACATCGAAGATTTATTGGTCATCAAGTCATCAGATGCTGAGCTTCGGAACTTTGATGACACAAATTATCTTTCGTCCTTGATATTTTCACAAAGCAATTTGCGCAAGTTTTCGCTCTCGTGCTATGATGCTTTTAATGGATTTACATCAAATATTTTCGTTCCCCTCGCAAGTCAAGCTGACACCCTTGTCTCCTTACACCTCCGAGGAATTCCATTTCCAAATGATGCCTCGATTTTCGCTTTGACCACATGCACAAGTATTGAGGATTTGGAAATTGTACGATGCACCGATGGACAAGGATGCTCATTGACCCCAATTTTGTCGGCCGAGTTACCAAATCTGCGTAAAGTTCGAGTCGTCGAATCTTCGATCCTTTGGGGACATTTTGTTGCCACCGTGATTGAAAAGAATCCGGTGAATCTAGAGGAAATGTTTTATCAACCCTGGGAAGATGATGAGCATGACGAACTATCGGCTTCAATCATACAGAACATTGCTCGTTGGAGTCCCAAACTAAAATCATTTGGTGTTGCCATCGGTGCCGATCAAGTTCCATCCTTGATAGAAATCCTTTCAGTCCCCGGATGTAAGATTGAGAAACTCAGTTTATTCTCGATGGGCAGGCCCGAAGGGGATTTGGAAAAACTTTGGCCGGACGTAGGGAAACACATTCCGGCCACCCTCAGAAACCTCAACATATGGATCTTTATCGGAGCCAAAGCGATGCATTACTTCTTACAGAACACCAAGGCGCAATTGGAATCTTTATATATTGACGGTTGGGCCGAAGATTTCCTTTATTCTCCTTATAGCGATGTACTTGGGGAATATCTTCAGGAACGTTACTTGGACATGGCCGATTTCTTTCACCCCGAAACCTAGAAAATGAAGTCATGTTAAACGCATTAAAAAAAATATATATGTAAAATGTGCCGATAAAATTTTTTCTTTGTAGTTAACTTTAATCTAATAAAATTTGTTGGAATAGGAAGGATTCAATCTACTTGCATAATATTTACTATCCACTCAACATCTAAACATTAATTAATTATTTATTTATTTTAGTACTCGACATAGAGATCGCGTGTCTAATTGTATAGTCGCATATGAAAAACGTACATTAATTGTACACGCGGACCTTTTAATTTTAAAATTACAACCCTTGATAACTTCACTCATCACATGATTCATGCGCACGCGACTAGGAATTTTATTGTTTCTTTTCACTGCGCTACCAAACATTTTTCTTGTACAAATATTGTTGTTATTCTGTTCTCATTGAATTAATTACATAGATCCGATGATTTATTTACAGTACTCTTCATTATTTATTTATTTATTTATTTATTTCTATTTCTTTTTTTTTTTTTTTTTTATTTTCCCTCTTTTTTTTTTTCTCATTTCATTTCTCTTCTGGCAAACATTTCCGGCAAATCTGAATTTTCAATTCTCATTAAAACAAGCTCAAGCCTTGTCTTCTCGATTTTTTCTTTTCTCTTTTTTTCAAACTTTCGCTTTACTTCGGACAGCACACGTTTATCGAAATTGACTTAAACTTAAGTAATAATAATGATTTGATCATCATCACACACTTAACGAATTAACTTAAGCAAATATAACTTACGTATAATAGTGAATGATACTTAAACAAGGACGCCCTGTTTTCTTTCTGAACCACCTACCTAGTTAGTTTTGGGGAGGGATGATTAGGCGTACGCATAGTTCATTCAAAAATGGCATCTCGGCCGTTTTCACAAGATCGTTTATGGTTTTAATATAACTTTTTTAATATTATTATTTTCTTTATTTGTGTAATTTTTTTTTAAGCATCAGATTCCAAAGAAGAAAAAAGTTTAATAAAAATTGTTGATTGTTACTGACATAAAGGGTATTCGTTTCATTTCTGCCCTGCAAAAATACAATGGTCAGTTCAACCGTAAAACCAAAAAATATCCAGTGTTTGTCTCACCGGCAATTAGGTTTTCAGATGCATATGGGATGTGACGCATTATCGGTTGGTCAGCTGCGTTGATAGAAGAAATCTTAAAGTTTCCTTTTAGAATTTCGTCGGTGCCCTTTACCATAATAGAACCTCTTATCATGATATGCATGCGTATAATGTAAATAAGATCTATTTCCTTATACGATTAGATGATTACAGCCTGTTGTTGTGACTTACAACAGTACAGGACAGTATAGTACAGTATATCCATCTCGCTATACAAACATACAGATACGGTAGGCATAGATGTATGAAAGCTCGGAGGAACGATTATTGTCGTCACATGGTTTATACTAGTTTTTCTTACAATCAAGAGGCAGCGCACATCCTTGCATGATTTATCAATTAGATCAAGAGAGTTGTATTGTTGTGATTGATCCAAAGGCATGCATGAATGAAAAGACTTGATGCATGACCGAGAAAATGCCGAGACGCGAGCATAATTTGTTCGTATCAAACTTTCCCTGAAGATTTCAAGATAACAGAGATTGTGCTGAAACAAAAATTCGAATCTGAGACGACCTCAAGAAACAGATTAATCAATCCTATTTTGCGAAACTTTTCCCATGCCTGGAGACCTCTCCAATTAAAGAAAGCAACGAACATATTTCTGTTTGACAATAACCACATCACATATGCCAGTGAGTCTTTTTCCGTTAGTATGAATTAGGTCCATACTTTGCAACAGCATGCACTTGCGAATTTTCAACCATCAATGAGAGAGTGATGCGAACAGAAAAACTTTTTGTTAAACGCTTGTAATTAACATTGGTGTGACATGACATAGGCCCCTGCATCCGAGATTTTTTTTTCGCCAAAGTCCCTTCCCTAATCTAATCCTCCAACTCACTCAATGAAAATGTCAATCCTCACATGATTATCTGTATCAGTAACAGATTTTGCTGATTCCCAATCACTTTCGTTTCTCAGGGGTACTATTTCTCCCTTCTTTGTTTTATACTTCAGTTTCTTTAACGGATACTTGAGATATCCCTTAAGATAGACGATGAAGTGGAATAGATTTTCATTTTTGGGGAACGAAAATTCTTTCGCTTGATTTGATAAATAACAACAAATATTTAACTATTTTGACGGAAATATGAAAGAATGTGGTGAGTTCCAATTAGTTGTTCTTTCAAAGGAAAAACGTTCGGGTTTTTTCTTGTAATTTCTCTTTACCTACCGATGGACAATTAGAACTAACTTTCATTTCGTTGACAACTCCAAATCGATCAAACCACAGTTTGTTTATTCCCGCTTCAATCATGTATAACACCTGAGGACAAACGCCAACGTTATGTGTAAGCAGGATTGAAAGTGTTCCATCTAAAAGACCTCCGGTGGGATCTTTTTCCACCTTCAAAATCGCCGATTGGGTTGCCAACCTTTCACGTCGAAGATACTTTTGCGAGAGAAATAAAGCGTCGTTACCATTTGCTCGGGGATCTTAACCCTCGGACGACTAATAATGATGATCTTACCACTCTGTTGAAATCTTGTTTAAGCTTCATGCAAATTTGCAAGGAAGAAGACACCTTGAAGCTTACGAGTTGGTCAAACGGTATCACAATCTCGTCTCGCATCGAATTCAGACAAAGGGACACTGCATTTTGATTGAATCGGAACAAGAAAACCATGTCGTTCGGTTCTCTCGACCGAATCAAAGTACTGGCAGGAAAATGGTTTCTTGATTTTGAAAATTGGCATATTCGCAGGTCGACTTTTAGAAATTGGGTGGTGGTGTTCTCTTCGTTTGTCAATGGTAGCATTGATTGATGACCATCTCGACCATCTGTGCGTAAATTTAGGTACATGTGAGTCAACTAACCATCATTGCAAACTAGAAGAGCAATGACAAAAAAATCATTACAAATCCGCTCGAGCTCCATAGCAGCATTGAAAAAGAAGAAGCTATCAACCCAGCCGGAGTGATTACTAAATTTATTCCGAAACGATCTATTCATTATTACGTACACACATTACTGTGCATTAATCTAAGCCCTAAATCGGCTGAGACGATTTGCATATGGCTTTTTTACTAAAATAAAGTCATCTCGATTATTCTGTACAAATTTGTATCAAATGTCTTTACCAAAGTTGGCACGAAATCTTTCTAGAACCTATGGTATTATAAATTTGTGTTTAACATTCAATATGCGTATTGTTGTCCACCGTATTGTTTTTACTTTCAATTTAAAGAAACTCGGGTTCTTTGCAGATGTTAGCCATATTCTCAATCAATATCAAAAAGAATGCCATTCTAAATATATGCTAGCAAAACTATCGACTGCGCATATTTAGTGAACAGAAAAAAAAATGATAATAAAGAAAGAGTTTTGATAATAGATGAAGAATGATATTTTTTTTTTCAATACAAGTTATGTGTCTCCGTAAGTTTCCAAAATGAGCGTCAATGAATAATATGGTCGATTACACGATAAATAAATAAAAATATCTTTTTTTTTCAAAAATGGCTTGCCAAAAAGTTTTATCAATGACAATTATACAGTATATACGTGTCCTCTTAGATATGATCAAGAAAATAACGTGTGGTATAAATTATTAATATTTCTTTATTACAAATTGCAAAAAAATTTTATTCACCAAACCATACCATAATATTAAGAAATCAAAATCAAGATCATAAACTTCATGAATTATTCAAAATTCTATTTGACGGTTTTCAAGAAATTATAATCACGCATCAAGTTTATCATAGAATTAATGTCATTCCATAGGAATCCGTGACCCATGGAAAAGTAACTTAAGAATGAAATAAAAAAATTTTTTTTGTTTACTAGAAATATCTTTAAGGACACTTATTTATCTTGCAATTTGAAAGTATGGTTAATACAATTTAATTTAATCATTTAACAACATTGCGATAACAATAATTGATTATTATGAAATTTTTTAAAAATTATTGGACATTATTATGTATTTTGATAAAATTAAAATTTACAAAAATTTAATCTATTTATTATATTTGATAAATTATATATTTTCAAAAAAAAAAATCTCATGTATATTAATATTTGACAATCTAGCATGTTAGCCTGAGCTATACTCCAGGATTAAAAATGCTAGTATATTTTATTGAAATTGGAATCACATGATATGATTGTCAAATTCTATAATTTTAAAAAAATTGATAATCGATAGGATTTGCAAAAAGAAATTTAATATAAAATGTATGTTTATATATATTTGTGATTATATTATGATAATAATATTGTATTGACAAATTCTAAATTATTTTTTATAATAAATTTTAAAAAAAATAATAATAAATAAATAATAAGTTTATTGTATTAAATATTATTAAATTAATAATTTATTTTTAAATAAATTTGAATTATATTTATATATTAATAATTATAAATTATAATATTATATTGATAAATAAAAAAAATATATATATATATTATATGCTGTAATAACTTATAATAAATAATTGTATTATAAAAAAATAAACAATAAAAATCCTTTTTATAAAATTTTATTCAATATTTAATATTTTCATTTATTTTATAATATAATTCACATATTTGTATTTGATATTATCTAATCAATAATTATGATATAATAATAAATTATTATTATATCTTTAATAATAGTTTTATAGATTAAATAACAATATTTAAATCTAATTAATATTATAATAATTACTATAAATTATTACATATAATATCTTTTTTTAAATAATACTTTTTTTAATTTTTTTAATAATATTTTTTTTCTAAGTAATTTTTTTGATGAAATAATTAATATCAGAAATATTGTATATAGTAATTTATAGTAATAAAAATTATTATTATTATTTTATTGTAAAATCAAAATTAATAAGTAAAATTTAATAATTTATTTATAATAATTTATTTGTAATAATAATAATAATAATTTATGATAAATAATATTTTGATAATTTGAATTTTTAAATAAAATTTATATTTTTTATAAACAATAATTATAAAGTTTATTATGTTTTAAAATTTTTATAATTAAATTTAACTGTTTTTTATTTATAATTTTAAGTAAATATTTATAATTATTTGATATTATTTTTTTTTTTTTTACTGTTAAGGTGAGACATGTCTCATGATCTTTATTAATACGTAATTATTATTACATGGTTAAT